TGACCTCGCGGGGGGGGGGGGAGTTGCTTTCCTTGATATCGTCATCGGACTATTGACGGCGCTTGTCCGTTTCGTGATTGAGCGCCGATCCTCCTCTTTTTATCAGGGACGCCACACGCGTGGCGTAGCGTCCGCCTTCTCACCTCCCCCGTGATCAACCCTTGTCCCGTGTCATACCGCGAGTCAGGGCTGCGAGACGGTTCGGTGGCGAGAGACTTGGTCGACCCTTTGCCCCCCGTCCCGGGCCGACGGTTCGCCTTCTTCATCCTCTGCGGTGGTTGGCGGGTGTGGCGGCACCATATGAACAAGAGCAAAACGACGACGACCAGAACGTCATCAGCGGCGATAGAGAGACGAGATGGCCGGCTAAATCTTGGGGGGGGTGCTGTCATACGTACGGGGCGCGAGGCAAGGAAGGGGCTTAACCCCCCCCCCCCCCCCCCCGCTCTCCCCCGCCGACTACATACATCCGGACAGGCAACGCATACATGAAGAAAGACAAGCGCGTCTCGAGGTCTTTCGCCTTTCCATCTATGGGAGCTGCTGCTTTGGGCGGTACTTTTGGTAGATCACAAAACAGCCCTCATCAGCGACCGAGACTTCGGAGGTGGAACATACGCACGGTTTCAGGTACAAAAGGATCCCGGCTTGAAGTTGTGGCTTCCACAACTACGGCTCTCAGCACCAAGAGTGTCGCGTGCACGAAAACCTTCTGCCCTCGACAGGCATGGCGGCGCAACGCCCAAGGTGAGGCAAACGTCATACGCTCGAATGGGCCAAAACAAGACGACAGCAATAGGTGTCAAAAACGGGCGGCCCGAGGGATAAGCTACGCCCCCACCCCCGCGCCCCCCCACAAAAACAAAGCGGTACACTACGGTTGTACTACCATGCTTGCGTCTACCAGAGGATACCGCTTGTTGATAAACAGGAGTTGTCGAGAAAAGAGACGGACTACTTGTCTCTCACATCAACCAGAGAGCTCACACAGCAGCAGGTCATGACGCACGCCGCTGTTGCCATCGCGCTCCCCAGGGCCACCACGGTGATGTCAGGATACTCGTCCCCTGCAGGGCAAGAGAGGCACCGCAACGGGGGGGGAGGGGGGGGGGGTACTCGTGTAAACGCTATGCCGTGGTCGACCGACCGTTGGCGTCGCATGCCCGGACGGAGGAGCGATATGCCGGATTTTCGGCGACCCAGGCTACGGTTTACAAGG